TTGTTGTTGTTGTTGTTGTTGTTGTTGTTGTTGTTGTTGTTGTTGTTGTTGTTGTTGTTGTTGTTGTTGTTGTTGTTGTTGTTGTTGTTGATGTTGATGTTGTTGTTGTTGGTGTTGCACAATGTAAGTTTCTAAGTCTCTGAGTCTCTGCAGCTTTGAACTCAGGTCCGCATCAATGGCCGGTACATCGACTCGCTGAGGTGGATCGGGTGGGCGCTCAATGTCAAGTGTCCAGAGTTCAAGCTGCATGAGATGCTCAAGGTCAAGCGCCTTGATCAAAATTGGTTGAGTGTTGCGCAATAGTCATGAGAGAAATTGACAACTTGTCAGTCATGCGTGAAGCCTCTATTGTCATCTAAGGGATCACAAGGGCAAGCCGAAGGGCGCGGGCAAGGGCAAGTTTGGCAACCTCTCGGGGCTGCACGGACAAACCCAGGAGCAGGTGGCCCGACTTTATTATTATAAATAAGTAAGGATTGTCCTGTAGTTAGTAACCTCATGACAGGTGACTCATTGACTCGGTGCCTGGTTCGTTTGCATCATGTCTCATGGTCGAAGGTCTATGGTCATCCTTCTGCATTTTGGTGCCTGGAGCAGATCCTGTCCAGTCCTTCGTCAATTGTCAGGCTGGGTAATGCGATTGTTTGGTTGACATTGACTTGACTCAAGTCATGTGTTGTTGTGTTTGCCCACTCAGTCAAACGTGAATGTTGTTGCTCAAGTCAAATGGCGTGTTGACTGATGCTGGCTAATAAACCAAGAGACTTGTTCATTGATGCTGATTGGCTGGCCCCATTGCCCATGAGCCACGGCTATCATTATGCTTGCAGGCTGTGCTGTGTCGCTGGCTTCCACCGGACCCCTGCCATGCTTGTCATCCTCTTTGCAGCGCTCACTGAGCCTCTGACATAATGTATGACACATGACTGGTGACTGACTGGCTGACTGACTGTGTGACTTGCAAGCATTTGCACTGGGCATGACCTGCTAAGCTGACTGAATTGAAGCCCTGGCATGAATTGTGGAAACTCAGGCGGCTGGAAAGGGCGTCATGGTCATTTGTCAATCCCTCAGTGAAGACTGGTGCTCAGATGCGCGGCATGCTGTCCGATTCTTGGCCGGGGACACGAAGCAGCTTGGATGGCACTGAGCAAGTTAAGTGTTTGTTTGTCAAGTGTCAGAGCTCATAGATGTTAAAATGATTAGGCCAGCGCCAAGGGTGTTTGTGCTGTGAATTTTGCATTGTGCCCTTTGACTCCATTGACACTGACTTGTTGATAGCTGCTTGCATGTCATGTGTGCATCATTCACTTGTCACCTGTGAGCCGGCTCAGGCTGATGTCACATGACTGGCTGGCTTCACATGGCCACAACCTGGGCTCGTGGAACGAGATGGTGGGTCGGGCTGTCAAGGCGTGGCAGAAAGTCGTGGCCAAGCTCCCCAAGCGCCTTGGCTGCTGCAGTCAGCAAGCTGTTGAGCTTTGAATGCAGTTTGTGCTGTGGAGTAAACCCTGGCCACCAGCAGTCACTCCATTAGATTATGCCATTGACAATGATCCCAGGAGCATCACGGACTATGATGAGAGCGGCCTCAACCAGCCATCGTCATCTGTCAGATCCAAGTCTACCCCACCTGCTAAGAGGCCTCCGCCAGACATAGGTCCGCCTCCACCTGTCAAGCCTCCTCCTCCTCCTCCTGGGCAGCCCCAGGTGAAGTACAAGGCCGACTGCAAAATGTGAAAGCTTCTGTTGGACAAGCAAGTAGCAGGATCAAGTAGTCATGCTCTTGTGGCTGAAAACTGTTTGTGCTGAGTCCTGTTCAGGCTATGCCGCACCCGGCTTTGGCCAGAGGGGCAGCGTCAAAGTCATTGTCACAGCCCACGAAGAGGGAGGAACAGGTGACCGTGGCCGTGGAGGAGACAGATGACAATGTGACTTGAATATACTAGGTGTGCTGATGAGTCAACTGACTTGACAGCTTCTGCGCAAACTATTTGACATTCAAGCAATGCCAGCTCCAAAATACTGAGGCTGAGTCGTCGAGGCACAGCAAGAAGACCAAGTGCGGCAACAAGGCACAGTCATCTGTCGGGGCGGACCATGAGGAGGACAAGGCCAAGGCTAAGGCAGTGTCAGTGTCATCTGTCCCTGATCCTGCTGAACCTCACCTTGACCCGGTGATGTGTCTCGACTTTCTGGATTGGTGCTGCATCGGTGACAGCAGTTTGTGTCGTCATAAAAAGTGTTCAGACAATAGCAAATGAACTGGGGACTCACTGATGCTTGATGATCAGTACTGCCATTCAACAATGTGAGACACTTGACTTGACAAATGACAGTGACTGCTGACAGTATCCTGCTCATAATCACAAGTTCAGTTGTACTTATTTGTTCTGAAACAACTGTGCTGCCCAGGCAGGAGATCCTGAATGACTATCGTGTCACTGACACTGACTGGGTGGCCACTGCCTTTGAACATCTGGGGGCGGAGCGAGGCGGGGACCTCCGCCAGGCCAGGCTGATGTTTCTTGGCAAATAATTGGTCACAAGGATCAGGTCACTGTCAATAATGTGGGCCACAACCAATAATAATGATTGTAAGTTGTGATGAGCTTTGTGTAGCTACCTTCAGCGGCTTCACCAGCACTTAGGATGAAGTTGATGTTCAGGGACTACAACCAGGTGGCCAGCCATTCAGGCTGGCTTCAAAGCTGTATTAGTGCCTTGGCATTGTCATTATCATGTCATGTGTCAGTAATATCTAATTAATGTCCTATATTATCACCCATGATTGTCATGGCCTTTGACAACTTGTTCATAGCGAAATCAATGGTCATTGACAAGCAAAGCTCAAACCAACCAGATTCTATGCCATGCCCGCCTCTGACTGAATCCCCAGCCCAGGCAATGACATGGAAGCCTTTCGCCGCCAAGCCCGAGATGAGCATGGCAAGGGCACGGGCCAGGGGGGAGACAGGTAGTCAGCTGTCAACTGTCAAGTGTGTGAGGAGACCCTGTGAAATGACAAGTGGCCAATGACACATGACATCAGCCAGCTGTCCAATGATCAATGTCAGTCAGTTGTCATGTTGATACTGCTGCCTGTCTCTCTCTGAACTGAAGGCCACTGTAGTCGTGGCACTTGTATAACATAGCCATCTGTCTGCTGTCTCGCATGCGAATCAACTTGCAGGCCTGTGTGCTGTCACCTGTCACAGACAGCACCGTTTTGCCTGCCCTGGATAAGTGGCGAGCAAAAACTGTGCATAAGCTGCTGTTGTGCACCAGGGTAGTAGGCATCACATGACTGTGTGTGCATGTTCGCTGAAGACATTGTCAATGGTGCCATGTGCTGTTTATGACCTATGACAGACAACTGGCAGGTTCAGCTGAACCAGCACATCTGGCCTGGGGCCAAATTCAATTGCCAAGAGACTTGCCATGCAAGCAGCAGTTGTAGTTGTGAGCCTGGCTAGTACTGTAGCAATTTCCAGTGTGACATGTTCCCAATGGCTGCTGCATCCACTAGCTGTCATGAGTCACATGTCATTGAACCATTCATGTTATCATTGGCACATGTTGTTGAGACACACTCCAACAAGTCACATCTCCTTGAATTAGCTTGTGGTAGGGCACTGTGCGGTAGCTCAGCAGCATGCTTTGATGACTGTACTTTCCATTCTGAACGCTTTGGCTGCACATCTTGTAACAGTAAGTGATGCGAGCCACCGGTCTTGCTTGCTCAGGCTGGCTCGTGTCCTTTGTCATCAGCGACCAGACCTTGACAAGGCGTGCTTGGGAGTGGTGACAAGAGGCTGGCTGAGGCTCAATGCCATTCAAGTGTTTGGCAGCTGGCGAAAGCTGCTAGGTGATGACCCTTGATCATAGTCACTGTCTGATGTGGTCATTGTGTTACTAACCTGCAGCCTTGCGGAGGTGCATGATCAAGTCAGGCATGTCAGCAGTGTCGGGTAAACAGGCAGAGTCCAGAGAGGCAGTTGCAGTGTTGGGCTTGTTTCTGATTGATAGTCAGTGTGGGTGCCTGTAAGTGACAATGCTAGCATGTGGCCACTGGGGTGGATTCCAGGCTTTGACAAATGTAGTGTTTGTGTGTGCTGTGCAGCCTCAACAACCTGCGTAGAATGGCATTAGGCATGTACCAACCAGTTGTGAAATCAAAGAAACCCTGTCAATGTGATGAGGCTCTCAGAACTTTGCAATGCCTTGATACACCATGAAAAAGGTCACAAGGGCATATCAATCTAAAGACAAACACAACAGCAAGCAATAGGTAAACTGTAGCTTGGGCTGACTAGTGACACATTGGCCAAGTTTCATCTAAAGAGCTCCCACAACTAAGTGAGCAGGCCAGGAGAAAAAGCTCAAACGTTATCAACATAAAATTTCTCAAAATTTCTCAAAATTTCTCAAAAACTCTCAAAAACTCTCAAAAACGCTCAAAAACACTCAAAAACACTCAAAAACTCTCAAAGTGATATGAGGTGTTTAATTGAAATGAGTATTGGTTTCAATTTATCAGGCCAGACAAAATCTCAAAATTTCTCGAAATTTCTCAAAATTTCTCAAAATTTCTCAAAATTTCTCAAAAGTTCTCAAACACTCTCAAACTCTCTCAACAACTCTCAAACACTCTCTCACATCTCTCAGCAACACTAGATAGACATCAACTGATGTGGTGCAGTCTGCAGAATTGGGCAGGCAGACTCCTACATGGTCATTTGTCAAGCGCTCAGCCAGCCAGTGATAAGGGGGCAGCTGGTGATGACACTTGACATTGCTGATCATGACAAAAGACATTGCTGAGTGTGACAAGTGACACTTGGGGCATGTGATGAGCATTGCATGATGCTTGACATGTTTTGGCATGTGATCATTGACTGCACTGTTGCTGATATGGCCTGCACTGCAGCCATTTTGGTTCTCCTCAGTGTCATTCAGTCAAGTGTCTGTGTGGGCGGGTGTCAAGTGTCTGGTCAGCAATGCCAGGCCATCGCAGCAAGCGCAACTACCAGCAGATGATGATGATGCCACACATGATGCACCCCATGCAGACCATGCAGGGCATGCCGGGCATGCCGGGCATGCATCCCATGATGGTTCCAGGCATGCAGCAGCCAATGCAACAGCCAGGACAGGAGTCATCGTCAGAGGATGAGGCTCAAGGCCGTGCCCCTGTCCAGGATCAGCCTCGGGCATCGTCAGCGTCACAGTCCAATGTCCTGGTCAATCTTCCGCCGCCACCGCGACCGCAGCCAAGTGATTCAGCAGAGGCCAGGGACCAGATGGAGATCACAAAGTCAGCAACGTTCCTGAGACAGCTGCCTCGCCTGCGGCTGGCGGAGAACTTGGAGGCGATCAATGCCCTGCTGGAAAGCACACTTTTGTGTGAGCTGTCAACTATCGGCTTGCTGAAGCTCCTGTGGGTCTTGACAAGGATCAAGCCCAGCACAAAGATCCGAGACTTGCGTGTCATGGCATGACTAATCCTGACATATGACTCTGACCATAGAATAGTTAGTTAGCTGAAACTTTTGAACTTGTCAATGCGTTGTGTTCATCACCAGTCATTCATAGTGTTCAATGTAATAGTCTGATGTGGTTAGTTACTTTGTGCATTGTCTTAGCTTACTTGCCACTGCCTTTTAGCCAAGCCCAGGTGTTGAGACTTATGGGGACCTCAAGCAAAAGACACAGCTGGCGCATGGTAGGGTGGTCAGAGTCATGGGGCAGGAGGTGTTTGAAAAGAATATCTGGGAAAAGTTCGAATGCAGCAACCTCACCGACGACATGATCCTCCGGATGGCGCAGCAGTTTGGCTGGGATGATGCCATGCTGGGAACCAGGTCAGGGTCACGTGTCAAGGCTGCGGCTGCTGCTGTCAACTCCTCGGGCAATGTGGTTCAGATGCTGTCAGCTGTCCATCAGTCCAGTGTTGTGCGGCCACAAGTTCTGCAGCCCCCTCCACCTCCACCCCAGGTCACCACGGGGCCCCAGGCGGCTCAGCCTGCCCAAGTCACTGCTCAGCCGCAGCCTGCCCAGCCCATCCCGCCCTCGCAAGCAGCATGGCAGCGACGTCAGGTGTCGCAGCAGCAGCAGCAGGCGTTGCTGCAGCAGCAGATGCCGCAGCAGCAGCAGCAGCAGATGATGCCGCAGCAGGAGCAGCAGGTGTCCAGTGTCCAGTCACTGATCCAGCAGGTGCAGCAGGTGTCAGGTGTCCAGCAGCCTCAGGCTGCACAGCCCTTTGGGCCAAAGGCTGCCCCTCACCCGGTGCCAGCCCCTCAGCCGGTGCCAGCCCCAGTGCTGCAGGCACCGCCAGCCCCGCCGCAGCCCCAGCAGTTGGAGTTAAATGTCTTGCAGGCAGACACAGCCCCAGGAGCAGTTGTCAAGGCGGCTCCTGCTGTGCCCACCGAACACCCTGAGCAGTCAGGGGGCCTGGTCTGTGTCATCTGTCAGCAGGAACTCGGCCGTGGCGGTGACAATGAAGTGGACCGGGTGGAGGCTCTGGCGTGCGCCCACACCTTCCACGCAGTGTGTTTGGCGGAGTGGAGGCGGGTGGCAAACCGAGGGGCACACGAATGCCCTTTCCGGTGCCATGTCGTCAATGAGCAGGACATGATTCAGGGATGGGAGATTGTGGAGTCAGAGTCAAATGTCGCTGCTGACACTGAAGCTGCTGAAGCGGCTGAAGCTGATGCAGCTGACTCTGACATACTCTGACTGAGTTCCTGTTCCTGTAGGCAGCTGGCACCTGTCAGTCATGTCAAATGTGACTGTGACACTGAGTTGGCTCATGATGTAGTACTAATGACATCAGACTCATTGACAAACATGACACTTGACAATGACTGCTGGCATGTGATTTGATTTTGTTGTCACAAATGTGTGATGAACTGTTAAGTAGCTGTCACTTGTCACATTGACTAGTCTTTGATTTTGAGGGGGGCCTGAGCAGTGTGTATTACACACTGTCTCATGTGTCGTTTTGCATTAGCTTTAGCAGTGTGCCTACACACTGACTTGCCGTTTTGCTTGCATTCACATTAGATCATTAGGGGCCGGGGGTTTGGTTGCCAGTCACCTGTCTGACAGTCTGACAGCTGACTACTGCAACACAATATTAATCTGTCTGATGTAGTAGCAGCCTGAGCGAAAAAAACAACTAACCTGACTCACTTGAAGACTTGTCTGGGTGTGTTGTGTCAAGCAGCTCAAGTCAAATAGTAGGTGATCATCAGAGTCAATGTCAGTGCCAAGGCCAAAGCCCAGCCATGGATCCGTCATCGCCGTCGCTTGTCTTCCCGAAGACTTGCGAGGGTGTGCTATGTCCAGTTGCCTATGAACAGCCTGAGTCTGGTCAGATTTTCTGGGACTTGATGTACATCTTGGACATGTTTCGCCAATGTGGTGATGGCCGCACACATCACAGATTTATGCAGTCATTTGTCGAGGCAAAAGACGCATGGCGACTTGCTGACGATCATCTGCATCTCCGAGGCCCTGTCTCTGAAAGGCCAGGAGTATTCACAGCAGGTAGTCCTTTGTGTGCACATGTGTTTTGATAACAGGGGAAAGACTACTGATTCGACAGCTTGAATTTGACATGAGGTTTAACTGAAAGATTCGACTGAGTCAATAATCAATCAAATGTCCCCTTCGGTCTCGGGAGTTCTTATTTCAAAGTCGACTGAATCAATAATCAATCAAATGTCCCCTTCGGTCTCGGGAGTTCTTATTTCAAAGTCGACTGAATCAATAATCAATCAAATGTCCCCTTCGGTCTCGGGAGTTCTTATTTCAAAGTCGACTGAATCAATAATCAATCAAATGTCCCCTTCGGTCTCGGGAGTTCTTATTTCAAAGTCGACTGAATCAATAATCAATCAAATGTCCCCTTCGGTCTCGGGAGTTCTTATTTCAAAGTCGACTGAATCAATAATCAATCAAATGTCCCCTTCGGTCTCGGGAGTTCTTATTTCAAAG